TAATAAATATACATTTCCAAGTACCGCATTCATTTGAAACTCACATTACAACTCAAGTTTTCTAATTTATGTATATTTATTAGTTACAACTCAAGAGTTTTTAACTTATGATTATTAATTAGTAATCACTAATAGCATTTTATTTTCCTTTCTTTATAAGGTCGTAAAGTTTTGCTCATTAAAAAAAAAAGTTTTGCTCATTAAAAACATTGATGTATTTGAAGAGATTTGTTATTTAAATATGAAGAGTTAATATAAATGTTATAATAGATGTTTTAATGTTTTTATGTTATTAAAAGTTATAGTGTTTATTTTTCATATTTTTTATTATTCGTTGTATATATATCTTTTTTAATACAAATGTTATAATAGATGTTTTTCTATTTTTATGTTACTAAAAGTTGCAGTTCATATTTTTTGTTCATACGTTTTGTTATCCGTTATATTATCATTCATTTGTTATATAATTTACACAATTCTAAACGGTTTATAAAATTATCAAATAATTGTATATATCATAATGACTTAACAATTAAACTATAATGTTTAATAAAACTAATATGTTAACTTTATGTTTGCTTTACTACTAACATTTTGTTTCAAAGTAGAAATATTAAATAATAATTTGGTAAAAATTATTATTTTAACTATATAATTCAATTCTTGCGCAACGCGCAAGGATTCGCCTAGTCTATTATATAAGACATAGTTTTCTTTTGTAATTATTAACTTTCATAACTTTTCACCTTACTACTACATGTCACTTGAGTTTTTACCTAATGATCATTAATTCAGTCATTGAAATGTTGTGTTAACTATAAGGACATTTTTATTTAAACCCTACACATTTAAACCTTCTATGATTCTTTATGTTACAACTACAACTCAAAAGACTTCTTAACCAATGATGATTAAATGAATTATTGAACTATAATGTTAATTATAATGATTGTATAGGTTAATCTTTAAATATAAAAATTAAATCAAAATACCAAATTAACAAAATGAGTTCATAAAAAAATATTTTTTTATAACTAATTACCTTTTCAAAATAGATGGTTTTTAGTTATTAAAAAATAACAAAACTTTAAATATAATGCTACATATAAAATATAAGTCGAAATCTACATATGTATTATACAATAGATATCTTTCACTAACGATGATTAATTAGTTAATTATAGTGATGATATTCATTATCCTTTAAATGTAAAACTTAAATCGAAATGACAAATTAACAAAAAAAAGTTGATAACTTTGTTAACACTCTTCCACTTTCAGTAAACTTGATCTTTATTCCTATAGTCTCCAAGCTTAATTCCCGATATAAAACGCCTAGTAACTTTCCAGAAAAAAGTAGGCGCATCTTGTTTTTGCTTGACCTTTGGGTCTTTCGAAACATGTAACACCCGAGCCTTCCATGTGAATTCCTTTTACTTCTTAAGATGTAATGTTGGATTTTGATCTATGCAAGGCGTAGATAGCTTTCTACGTGCTTCATAGAGGGAGAAACTTGGAGTAGGGTTTAAAAGATCTATGCATGGCGTAGATCTTTGTACTCAACGCACACTTGCCTAGAGCCTAAACCGTAATTTTGGGGTTTTGATCCCTATTTAAGGGCTCTAACTCTCTTGAGGTCCTTCCATCATCAGCCTCCATTCCTCAAACGTTCCTCTTTAAAACCCTAATTCCATATGATGTGATTTTGAGCCTTGTGTATGTTTTGTGTTCATTTTGAAGAATAAATTAGGTAGTGAATTTGCTTGGAAGCATAGATCAGCCTTGGATCTAGAAGTACCTTTTTCTCATTCATCTCGAGAAAGTATAAAGTTTGAACCTTTATGCTTCCTTTGTTAGATCTAACTTGGATGTTGAAGTTTATGACAATTTTTTCCTAATAATTGGTCCATTTTAGTGTGAGCTGCTCTAGATCTTGTAGAGTGCAATTCCAGATGAATTTGAGGGTATTAAGTCATAAAAATGGGATATTGGCCATTTCCAACCATCCATAGATGAGTTTTTGGTCCTTAGAAGTTGTCATGAGATTAGGGTTTGTCCTTGAGCCTTGGTAAGCCATGAAAATGCATAAAGTTTGGAATTTATAACTTAGGACATTTATTTAGACCAGATTCGAGAGTTAGACATTGTGTCTTTCGATATTAAGCATATAACTTAGGCTACGTAGTGAGTAGCCCCATAATTGCGATGCCTTAGGCACTATGAAACGCATTGAGCTGTTACGCATGGTGTAACCTAGATAAATGTTGACTTTTATGTTTTTGACCATTGACCGTTGATTTGACCAAGTTTGACTTTAGGTCAAATGTAGAAATTTGAGTAGTATATTGATGTTTGGTCCCTGTTTGACGTATATGTGACATGTAGAGCCAGTATTTGGAGCAATGATCGGTTTAGCTATGATCAACTTTGAGGTGAGTTTTCCTTAGTATACTTGTGGATCGAAGGCACCAATGGCAACCCACTAGGTTGTGTTATATACCATGGTATATAGGATGTTGCTATGCTGTAGTGAACTGTTAGATTGGTAGACTCGTATGTTACCTATACTTGTTGGTTATATGTTTATGTTTATCTATTGAATTTTTCAACATAGTGAGGGTAGGTTGAGGCGGTCCTACTTTGTGTTGTAGGCCAACAAACCTAGGGGCAATCATGTAACGCCCGTAGATTCGGACTAGTCAATTTAGAGACAATAAGCATCAAAAATGACTTTTTTATAGAATATTGTTTAGCATAAATAATCTTAACTAAGTTATAGTATATTTCATTGGGGTTCCGTACATATAAAGAATGCTGAAATCCGAGTTATAATAAAGAAGTTATGACTTGTCGAAATTTCGCAACAAAACTGGCACGGCGCTGTTTGACGTAAAAAGTGAGTTTGTGATAAAATACTTTTATCCTTAGAGATCTAAACAAAATTAATAGTATACGTTAAACCATGAGGAAGTAATGATTTTTCTAAAATTTAGCATAACATTGCACAACCCGGAATTCGAATTTTAGATCGACTGATTTTTATCAGACACAATCTAAATGAGAATTTTAGATCTTGTTAGTAGGAGGTCAAAGATATAAAGACAGGCGAAAATGGATGTCGGATGACAAGGTTATGAATTTTTAACGGACTTTACCCGTCTAAGCCTGTTAAAATATAACTTTTAAAATAAAATTAGAATTAGCCAATGGAGTCTAAAAGAAAGTTGTAGATTGTGTCGATACCTATGCATGAATATAAAGAAGATAAAAAATGGAGACCATATGTGAAAGTTATGGAATTTAGAAGTTTATGGGTTAAGATGCGAGTTAACTCGTGTACGCCCCGCATACCTGACATTACGCCCCACACACTCGCCTACACGGTTCCAGCTTCCTCCATGTCGACCCATCCGAAGAATGACAACTTCCCCCTCATTTGCGCAACATAGCCTTGTATGTGCAACGTACTAACTACGCGCAGCGGACCCCGAGGATTACACCCAACGCACTGCGCAGCTCCAGCCTATAAATAAGATGTGAGGCTCTTCACAAGTATTTACACGTAAGCCTTTATTTCTCTCTCTAACATCTCTTTAAACCCATCCTAATCCCTAATACTTCCCAAGTGCTACGAGGCGAGTCACGGAGCTCTAAAAGGGTTTATGAAGAAGAGCTTTTGGCTAAGAAGTTCTACCCTTGCAGAGTCAGGTTCCTAGCCAAACCTCCTAGTAAGTGAGTTATGCTTACCTAGTAAGTGAGTTATGCTTACCATATTTTAAGTATAGATTATTGTAGTTTGTATTGATCAAGTAAACAAAATGAAATCAGAGTGTGGATTGAATCTAGAACACAAGAAGTAAATATAATCTGGATGACTCAATTATACTTTTGAAAGATACAGGAGAGTTTTTAGGGTAAGAACATGAAGCGAGAAAAGTTGCTCTATCCCTAGCATCTATCCCTATTTATAGGAATAACAGAAGTAAGCAAAAATTACATAAGGGCATAAACATGAAAGCTTGGAATCTATACTACCCTTGCGAAATGCATACTTTAGAATCCTATCAAGCTACAATTGACTTCGACAACTCACAACTACTATACGAACCCAGCATTCTCCCCTTTGTGAGTAGTGTTGAATTAAGTCATCAAAAATTTTGTAGCTTGGTGAAGTACTTGAAAAATCTTAGTATACGATGTTGTGATCTTTCAAATCTCTGTTATATCCCGTGAATTATTCTTCTTACAATTACTAATCCGAACAAGGAGATTAGTATACTGGGAATTCATATATCTTTCAACATCCTCAACTCTGAACAAAAACTTAGTATTCTTGTTGTTTTTATTCTTTCCAACAAAAAAAATTCCTAGCGGGTTGACACACCATCTTCAAAATCCTTCAAGCTTCCTTGACCTTTCAAGGCAAGTTCCATATCAATTAATGCATGACAATCATAGTAATTGTCAATGAAAAGCTTGATATATCCAAACCCAAGAAAAAAAATCTTCTTTGATATTTACTTGGAGTTTCGAAACATCAACTCCACTCAAGATCTTTGCAATATTTATTAGATCATTAAGATTCATCAATGGAAAGTCTGTAACCACGAGATCACAAGCTACATTATTTTCACAAACCACGTGAAAATGAAAGTTCTGCAAAAGACCTTCGAAAAGTTGATCCTTGGCAATACAAATCACTTTCACAATTTGAACTCTTCTTCCTTCTTCCCAAGGACTGAATGAAACCTCAATTTTAGCTTCTTATACTCTTCTTTGTCTTCAAATTTATCTACCAACTGATACTGAGTAGAGACGAACATCATATGATTGGTGGGAAAATCTAGTGGATTGAAATATGAATTTTTGATCTCATATCTCTTCTTTGGAACCTTCAAAAAATCATGCATCTCTCCAAGTGAAATAATTTTCTTAATGGTTTCATAGCAATATTGTTTGGCTGGGTCACCCTCTTCAAGACCAGGATAATCTCACTGCCTTTATCTTAGAATACTTTGGATATGTCTTTGTTTTTCAGTTTCCTTTTCAAAGGCAATCTTCTTTTCTTCTTTAGTTGGATCAGTCTTGATACCCTTCCCTTTTCCTTCCATTTCTTCCTTTGATGTAGGTGGCTTTAAACTTGAACCCCTGATAGAAGATCCAATAACAACGCCCTTGTTTAATGGCTTCGAAGTCATTGTGGTTGAAATTGTTGATGTTGATGAAGGAAACGAAGTTGGAATTTGTGGGCTTATTACTTTCCCAACAACCTTACCTTGATCTGAATCCTTTGATGCTCCAACACCCTTTTCTCCCCCTTGCACCCCTATTAAAACAGGTGTGGCATCTGTTGGCATCAAATTCACAAACTTCATAAGAGGAGCTAGGTCAAACCTCAGGTTGGATTCCAACGAAGAATACATTTTGGACAACAATTCTTGAGAAACCGAATATGAAGGAGAAACATTGAGTTTCGAAACTAACCCCTTCACATTGCCCAATAACTCTTCCAGTTTAACAAAATGCTTGTAATTAGACTCAGACTTGAAATCGACTTTGATGATAAGAGACGTGTAGAGCTCAACAATATTCTTAAAAGCATCAACAAATATATTGACCTTAGTATGAATATTGGAATAGTTCTGATCAATTTTAGCAATCTCCTTGGTCATCTAAGAACAAAGTTCCTCAATTTTGAAATTAACAACCTCCTGCACTCTCCTAATTGCTTCGAGAAAGAGAAGATGTCATTCCTTAGCAACTGACCTTAAATCTTTAACCTCATGATTAAAAGAATTAGATTGTCACCTCAAATGCTCTTCATTCTTAGTATCAATCTGATCCATGATGGTTTTCAGACGATGTTCATGGGCTTTTATCAAAACATCGACTTCAATGCTAGAGATAATATTGCGACTTCCTGTATCAGCTTGAATCTAAAGCAAAGAATTCAACTTGAGATTTAAAATTTTGAATGTTTTCTTGACATCAACATGTGATCAGGAATATTCTCCTCCTCGGGAGCGAACTGGATATTGCCAAATGAAAAAACTGATAGGTTGATCCATAATATTCGAAAAAGTAAGTGATATAGTGGAAGCTGGTAACGAATTAGGAATTGGTGAAATGAATGGTTGTAACGAAGTAGAGATATCAATAACAGTGGTTTCGAATGTAGATAAAGTAATGATAGAAATAGGAACATATGAAGTAGAGACATTCGAAATACCTTAGGTTGTATGAGTCAACATCCCATCACCCATGTTGATATTTGTGTCCATATGAGATATGTTCACAGGGACACTTGAATTTCGAACTTTCTCAAAAACTGATTCGACCATCGATACTTCAAGTGGTATGACTTGTGTCTACTCATGGATGGATGGAATAGAATGATCACCCGGATTAGTGGTTGTGTCCACAGTAGATGTTTTCATAGTGCCAACAGGACTTCTTGTCACTTTGATATTCAACTTGATAGGAGAATCCATATGAGGTGATGTGAAGCCCATGTCTTTAGTTCGAATTGGAGATGGAGTACCCTCGTCTTTGAAATCAGTCTCAACCACGACTTCATCAAGTGACTCTTCTAACTTTTAGTTTTTCTTGATATTCTTTACCAAATTACGACCTCTTCGTTTCTTTGAAGCCGGAGAAACTGGAGAAGGTATTTCGTGAATAATCACCCTTGAGATTAAGCTGAGGTTTTCGAATCTTTTGTAGCTTTGATGCAAAAGACCCCTTAGGCGAAGTAAGAGTCTGCACAGGAACATCTTCAATAATATGCCTCAAATCTGGTGAATGTCAAGGTCTATGGGCAAGCTTTTTTGTGCGTTTTAAAATACCAGTTTTCGATGGCACCCCCTCAATTTAAACGTCCTATACAATGGGTTCTTAAAGAATTCTTGGGACTTTTTCCATGTTTGGAAGCTCTTATAATTCCTTTTGGTAGCAAAACACCTGTTTCGACAGTATGATTGATTGATTGAAGATAATCCATAAGAATAGGATTTGATGGATCAGCCTTGAGAAGCATAGCATCTGGAATTCTTGCAACATTGGGAAAAACTGTCGAATCATCTGCAACATTCTTTGGATGTTGATGAATTTTAAACTCAGCTTTAGGAACATTAGCTGGTAAAAGAATCCCTTCCTTCTCATACACATATTGCAATATCAAACTCCAATATCTAACACATGAAACACCATTAGCAACATTTATGTGTAAGATACTGACACCAAACTCCTCCCATAGTTGAGTAGCATAATCAAATGTCAGATCATAATACAAGCCAACAACCATAACATAAATTTCAAGTATGCCTTTATCTAAACCCACACTTCGAACTCTCAAGCATCAAAGAAATATTCTAAACAGACAGTTATACACATATGTTAGAGAAGATTTCTTAAACTGGCTAATTTTGATGAGTGGAGGTTGTTGACCCATGTCGTTGAACATATGAACCACTTGTTCATTTGTAACCACATAGAAAGGGATAATATTTGGAAGGTTCATGATTTGAGAGAACTGTTTCTTTGTGAGTTTATACTTCTTGTCATTGGTTAACTGGAATGTAACCACCTTAGAAGTTTTTTTTCAAACATAACTATAGAACCAACCAACGAGAGCCATGTCATCGAAACTGAGAAAGAAGTCGTCATCATTGAGGAAAGAACTGAATGATTCAGAGAGACAATCAACATTTGCAGTTCTTCTGGATATTTTGAAACATCTGGTTGAACCCTGTAGTTGGAACCTTGAATCTTCAAAAAAGGTTGAGATGAAGCATCATCGTTTGTTTGAGAAGGATCAACTGAACATTTGTGGTTTCCATTGTCAGGGTTTGAAGGTTTGAGAGAAAATATGAATATACGGAAGGATAATTTGGGGGAAAATCTTCAACCAAAATAGGAAAAGTTTTAATTTTTAGCCCTCGGTATCCTTTTATACTTGGTAACTAGTTTTAATTTGAACCGGTTAACAATAAATTCATGGCACATCTACCCTTAAAAAATGGACCAGTTACCATAAAAGTCATCACGTCCAAAAAGTGATGATCACTTTTTCCATGAAAGTTGTGAGGCAACCAAACCGTCACATCAATCAATCGTTTCGCATGCTCCAATAGGATAAGAACCATCACAAAGCCTTCGATACGAGGCTAGACTCATTTGCTTTTGGGTTAAAAACAAAATCATTGCCAGACTTTCAAAATCTAGGTTTGGGTTGGTAATACCCAAGACCTCAAGGATTTCTGTGCTACTGTGTGCCAACGGAATAATGGGAACAAAAATAAAAAAATGTGCAAATAGTGACATCAAATAATCATTTGATGGAAAAGCAATTGGATTCTAAGAAAATATAACTTCATTTAGTATCAAGAGAGATATCAAACTAATTGTGTGGTATCCCATGAAGTACAATCGAATACTTCTAAAGAAGTATCAAAGGGGTTCTTTTAGATACGCATTGAAGGTAGGCACAATTTTGTTCATGATCACAACTTAACATAAGTGTGAACTCAATGATCAAAATTACTTGTATGACCAGTGTAGTTAGTGACAAGTGAAGGTTAGATATATGTTTTTGTGAGGAAGAAATAAATTGATATTCAGACAGAAATCATATTAGAAAAACAAAGAAGGGTTGGATCTTGTTGGGAAAAAATGTCTTGGGATAAGATCATTTTATCAAGGCCACGAAAATCGAAAGAAATATGATTTTGAATATCGAAGAATGGTACATAAACAACTATTTTGTTAAAATCTTAAACATGTAGTTCACCGTCAATTCCTTTAATAGTTAGGAATTTTGGGTTTCACCATCATCACGGTCTCATGAATCAGGATAATTAACACAGACTTGTGTAATATCTACATTCTGATTATTTTCTACCGTAGATATCAAGGATACGTAAGTGAAGTGTGTGATTCGTGAAGAAGTATGTTGATGAACAAGATTGTTCAAGAAACATATTGTACCTCTGCGAATAATAAGGACCAAGCAGAAATCTCATAACTCAAGATGAGAGAAGAGAAAGGTTGCTCTTTAACTAATGTGAATATAGCCTAATTGGGAAGGAACCTTCATGGTGAGTGATCCTTTAATGCTTCGACACACATGAGTCTATGCGCCTTAGGTCGACATACAACAACATTATTCTAGGGACACCTTACTGGTGTAAAGTTTAAAAAATATATGTCCCCTCCGGTAACGAAGCAATGACTACCAAAATATGCTAATTTTGTTGTAGCACCTGGTTTCCGGTATGTGAATTTTATTTGAGCATTGCCCTATTTTAGCCTTGGACTCGGCGAGTCATAAGGTCCGACTCGCCGAGTAGGGACGAGACTCAGGACACGTTTAAGTGGGCGACTCGGCGAGTCCATATCCTCGACTCGGCGAGTCACCGCTGCTGGATGAAACCCTAAGTTTCAAGGGTTTGCACCCTATTTAAACCCTCATTCCGCCCCAACTCGTCCCCATTCACCCCCCAGAACTCCCCAACATCGTTTTTCCCTTATTTCCTTGAGAGATTGAAGTGCTCTTGGTGTGTTCTTGAAGGTTTTGAGGAGAAAGAGGTGTAGATCAAGAAGAGGAGAAGGAGATCAGGCATCTTTGTGTCATTTCAACATATTCCTTGAGGTATAGCTCGTTTCCCCTCTGTTTTCAAGCTTGTAATCCCTTTTGCTTCATTGGAGTCCTTCTTGGGCTCTTCCCAAGCTTGTTTGTGCTTTGTGGGTGATAATAAGTTGTTAGCCTTTAGATCTAGGCATCATTTAGTCCCGGAGCTTGGATCTATGCCTTTATGGGGTCATATGGCATGAAAGCCCTAGATCTACCTCTTTTGGTGCACTTTGAGCCTTAAAATCCATATTGGTGAATATCTACATGTAAAGTTGGAAACTTTACGTGTGAATTTGTCCTAGAAGCCCAGATCTGTGAATGGCATGGACTGGAATCGAGCAAATCGGTGTATTTGATGGATGCATGGCTGCGACTCGGCGAGTCATATATGTGACTCGACGAGTCTGGTCGCGAGTCACTGAACTGGTCCCTTTAAGATGTATCGAGTTGAGCCGTGAGTCACAGGGGGTGACTCGGTGAGTTGGAAGCTGAACTCACTCATGATAGGACTCGGCGAGTCAATGCCCTGACTCGGCGAGTCCAAGGCAATCTTCATAGATCAAGAACAAACTCGCGAGTTGTTCATACAACTCGGCGAGTCTTAGCATATGTGTTCTTCGGATGAAGATGAACTCGACGAGTTGTTCATACAACTCGGCGAGTAGGATGAAGGAGTTGAATGACAGTTTAGAAGATGAACTCGTCGAGTCATAGCCCAACTCGACGAGTAGAATCAGGGACCCGGACAATAGTTTGCTAGGGACTCGGCGATGGAGATCCACTCGGCGAGTTGGGTCAACTAAAAGTTGACTTCGATTTGACTTAGGGCTAGACCAGGGGTAAAATGGTCTTTTTACCCAAAGGACAGTTAGCAGTGTATGATTAAGTATATTGTGGGAATTACAGCTGGGGAGTTTCCGGAGCAGCGGCAGCAGTAGTAGGTGATCAATTCCCACACAGACCAGCAGCTATTTCGAGGTGAGTTTCCTTCCAGTAGTAACAGGTCTAAGGCACCAAGGCCGACTCGTATAGATGAGACGT